TCATTACTCTCTTCTTCTATCTATCTTTTTAAATAAAATAAGAAGAAATTTTTAAACGTTATTTGTTCAACAGTGCAAAATCTCTGGAAAAAGAGTCTCATTTTTAATAAATCCAAAAATAGTTCATTATATAGAAGAATAAAGAAGATAAATAAAAACTTGAGAATGGGACAAAACAAGAATTTTTCAAGAATAAAAAATTATAAATAAAAATATTTAGAGATTTACCAATCAATAATAAAATAAAAAGTGATGTATTTTCGCTTACAAGTCAAATTCTAAATCTAAAAAAAATAAAATGAATAAAAATAAAAAATAAAAAAAGGTAGTAAAAAGAATAGAAAAGATTAATAATCAAAAAAGACGAATTAAAAATAAAAAAAAATATAAAGGAAGTTAAAGTAAAAATTAGGGAATTTAAGAGAAATAGTTCGAGAAGAAAAGTCAAAAGAAATAGTTGATTTTAAGGATTGATTTTTATATAGAGGAATAAATAAGAAGAAAACTAAATATATTATTGTCACTCATTAACAATGCAACAGCTACTCACCTTTGAAAATGAAAGAAAGTATATTGATGTAAATAGATGTGTAGCGAAAGTATCTCAATCATCATCAGATGTAGTGAGTGGCAGTCAAGATATAGTCAAATCTGATTATCAAAAATTAATTAATTTTGCTAAAGAAAATGAAATTAAAGAAAAGAAATTAAAAAATACAAGTTTACCACAAAAAGGAATTGCAAAATTAACACAATCGAATTTAAAATCAAAAAATCTTATGGGAATTACTCGGTCAATGCTTAATCATAGAATTGATCTTTGGAAGCAAGAAGCTAACAAAGATGCATTTATACCATATCCTTTTGTAATGTAAATTAATCAAAATTACTTAAAATATTTTTCTTATTTATTTTAAAAAGGGTTTTTTATAAAATTATATTAAAGAATGTTTTAATAAATTATTACACGAATAAATGTAATAAAAGAAAGAATAGAAAAAATCTTACAATCCACAAAATTTCTAAATGAATTTAATTAAACGATTTAAGAAATGAATGTTGGAAAGAACTAAATAAATAACTGTACTTTAACTACAATTTAATATTTCAATAAAATTAACAGGATCAACTTTATCACAAGAATTGTCTTGATTTAAAGAAGGATTAGTTTGACTATTAAGTAAATGGTCAGATGAAGTAAACACACCGTTCACAGTATGACCAAACTGAGAAATTTGAGTAACATAATCAGGAATTGAGCTAACTGGACTTTGAGGAAACAATAATTTTCCATTGTCACTCAACTTTGTTTGATCAAGAGTGAATGATTGGAACAATGCGAGAATCTGGTTATTAATAGGTTCAAGATGAACGCATTGTTGCTTTTTATTAATAAAAGTTTTAGGAAGAGAATGAACAATTTCAATGACTGCAGCTCCAAAAGCATAGAATCCATATTCATTGAAAGGATCAATCCATTTAAATTTAATCAATTTTTGAGTCTTTTTTGTAGAACGAGACTTAGTTAATTGATATGAAAGATTATTTGTCTGAATAATATATGAAGAAAGTGTATTAAAAATTAAAGCAATAGCAGTTTTCTTATCATTACGGGTCGCACCAACCGAGGAGGAAAGAGTTCTAGGGAATAAACTAGAACTTTCAATAATCAAATTATCATAAGTAACTTGATTATCACTTTTCACTGTTGAGCATTTGATTTCTAAGTCTATACCATAACAATTGGCAAGTCCAATTATTGCGGCATTACTCAAATGTTCTCGGTTGGTGCTTTCCCGTTTAATAAGGGTTTGTTTTTTAGTTTGGTTTTCACTAGTGTAAAATGTATTGGGTGAGACAGAATGAATCATCAAAATAAATCAATATGAGTTCTAGTATAAGTATTGATAATTATGAATTAAATGATTACTCCTTTACTATTTTTTATTATAATTCATCAATTAGTTTGAAGTTTGACTTTTAATTTATATTTTTATTATTAAGTTAGAACTAAAAAAATTATTATTATTAAACTAAAAAATAAATTCTATTTAAACACCTCATATCTGAAAAACATAAAAATCTCAAAAAATTGTTAGAAAAGAAAAATATATTTTGAACTAACTAAAATTAAAAATCATTGCGTTTTTATCAGAACTCAATATAAATAAAAAAACTAATAAAAATATGTTATATTTATTTTTCATAAATTAAATTATATTTTAAATGGTTATAAAAAAATATTGTATTGATATTTAAATTAAATATAGTGAATAATTAATTTTATTATTTCAATTACAAAGTAATATCTTTCATATAATTAATTCCAGAATTATAAATAAAAGGGATTTACTATTTAGTTTATGAGAATATTAAAAAAAATTTCTTTTCTAATGTATTTTCTTAACAATAAACAGAAGAAAAATTTGATTTTTATTCAATGAATATTTTAAATAAAATTTATTCGATGTTGTTATTGATAAATGAGAAGAGTCAAAGATTAAAAAAAAAAGATATGTTTTTAGAGAAAAAAAGAGAAGTTTCTGTTTTTTATGTATTTGTTGATATAGAAAAAGGTAGAACTTAAAATTTTTTAGTAATTTGCAATGTCCCAAGAAAATCGTTTAAACAACGTTTTTACTTTTTGGAGACAACATGAAAGTGTTGAATTATTTAGTGAAGACAAAAAATTACACTCATCATTATTAAAATGTGTTTGTAAAATTCTTAAATTAACCTAATAAATTCAAAAGAAGTTTTACTTCACAAAATATTAATTTAAAATAGAAAGATACAAAAGAAATGAAAGCATGGTTATGGAATGATCTTCTTGGAATGGAGTCTATGGTTGATGAAGAGAAAATGGTATTAATATTAAAACTACTTAAAGACGAATGGAATAAATCATTACAACAAAATGGAGAAGTTTTAGAAAGTACTCCAGAGTTATTGAGGAGATGTTCTTCGACTCTTGTCTTAACATCTTATGAACCTGAAAATATATCTCCTATTAATTCTTTCAAAAAAGTTTTTCCTGACCCATTTGAAAATGAAAAAGAAATATCAACAATAGAAAGACCTCAATCAAAACAATTAATCCCTTTAGGAAATAGTGATGGTGATATTGATTTAGTTGAAATTTCACAATCAAAAGATTTTGGTGATGGTTATATAGAAAAATCAACAAATTGTATTGGAACATTAAGTTCTATTGAAGAATTTGAGAAAGAAATGAAAGAAATGAAAAATGAAGTTCAAGAAGATGAAAATAATGAAGAGTCAAAGGAAATAAATATTCAAGATGAATTTAAAAAAGAAGAAGTTAAAGAAAGTCCTAAAGGATATAAAAAAAAAGTAAGTATAATGACAGAGAGAAAATCACTTGACAGTAAAGAAGAAGTAGAAAGTAAAGAAATTAAAGTAAATGGTTCACAAAATAAAACTCAAGTTCCTTCATTAAATATTGAAATGATTGGAAGTATAAGTAATTCTTCAAATAGGACAAGTATGAATGGTATTCCTCCTGGAATAGCAACTATGGAATGTAAAGGAGATCAATCAAGTATTCTAACTATGGAAAGTAATGCAACAACAAATTCACCAATACGAAGAGATCAAGTAGAAATTATTGGATTAAAAGCAAGAATTAGTGAATTAGAACAAATTATTGATGAAATGAATAAACAACATTCTACTATTATTCCGTTTCAACCAAGTTCAGAAAAATCAACACCAAGAACATTATCTCCAAGACAAAGAGGTGAAAATAAAGCTAAACTTGAGTCAACAAAAAGTGGATTTTTTGGGCTTTCATTTAAAAAGAAAAATAAAAGAAAGTTAATGAGGTCTGAGTCAGAACGTAATATGTTATCTCCTTCAGAATTAAAAACTGATGGTAAAAAATTACTCACACCTCAATTAGCACCACAACATCAAAATAAACGAGAATTATCAGAACAAGAAATGATAACATTTCCTACTATAACAAATGAAGAATATCGACAAGAAGTTATTCGTTTAAATAAACAAATTGTTCAGTTACAACGAAGAATTAAACAAAAAGATATTGAACTTCAAGCGATAGTTAATGACCAAAAACAATTTTATCCATTAATGACTCTAAGAGAAATTGACCATTTCCATGATGATGTTTGTAATGGTTTTATTGAAATTATTTTGAATTGTTTAGAAAACAAACCATATGACGTACAACAAAAATATCTTTGTAGGTTAAATGATTGTGCTGAAGTTAAATTTTTACCTCCTGATAAAGTTAAAATTGATAATAAGGCAAGAGTATTACGGTATAGTGAACCAATTATTCGTTCACATTCTCCTCGTTCGTCACAAAGTCCTGCATTATTACCTCTTATTAAAGAAGACCCAGTCCAACCACAAGAAGAATTATATAGATGTTTATGTGATTCATTTATAACAAGACAAGAAGAATATTATTATCTTTTCCAAATAGTATCTTATTTATATTTTGCACCATTTAGACAAGAAGGATTATCAATTGTATCTAAGTTAGACCGTACATTCCCAGAAATGATGATGATAGAACGTACGTTATTAAGAAATATTAATAAAGGATTTATTAATGCATTAAATGAATATGTCTTAAAATTAAAGCTATATATTCCATTTATATTAATGAAAGATAAAACTTTATTAGTTCTTTCTTTGGAAATAGAAAAAGTAGAATTTAAACGTGGGTTAATTGAAAGAACATTTGAATTTCAAAAGAAATATGGAAATAAAGGAAAAATCCCTCCTTTTGGAGTATGTATTAATCGTATTTGTCAAAGAATAGGAGAAATTAGTAGATTTATGGAAGACATTTTAAGGCAAGTAAAATCAAATGATATCAATTATATGAAAATTGCACAAACAGCTACAATAGCATTTGAAACAGAAAGTTCTTTAAAAGATTCTATTGTTGAACATCTAGAATTACATGATGTCAAAACAGTAGAAAGTAAATTTTTAACTATTGCACATAGAATTCATGATGGTAAACGAAGAATTAGATATTTTGGTGGATTAAAATTTGTTACTCCAGGAGAAATTAGTAAAGAATGGAAAATGTGTATTCTTTTTACTGATATTCTTATCATTGCACGTCCATTTGCATTTGGGAAAAAAACTGCTAAAGAAAGAGAGGTGGTGTTAAGGTTTGAAAATTCACCAAGAGGAAGAGATGTATCTGAATTATCTGGATATAGGTTTAATGAAGAAATGAGAATTCCTCTTCATTCACCAATAAAAGTTATGAATGTAATTGACACACCTTCTATTCATAATGCTTTTATGGTAGAAACAGATGGAATTATTAAACATTTTGCATGTGTATCTATAAGAGAACGTGATTCATGGGTAGAAGCATTATTAGATTTAAATGAAAAACCTAATAATTATTAATGTTATATATAACGAAATTTGACATTTTTAAGAGAGTTTTAATTAATTTGGTTTTTAATTTTAGAAAAGAATATTTTAAGAAGATAAAAATGGAAAAAAGAACTTAAAACCAATACAAATAATCAGTTTCTATTGTTAAAAATGAAGGAGGTCAAGAATTTTATGAAAATTACTAAAATTGATACTGCTACAAAATATGTTGGTAAATTTGGTAAAAAAGTTATTGGAGGAGTTGGAGGAGTTGCTTCTGGAATTACTACATATGGTAAGAAGGCTGTTACTAATCCATTTGGAACGATTGGAGATGTATTAGTAGGGAGTGCAGAACAACGTTCAGATGTTGACTATTTATTTAAAGATAAAACTGTATTAAGTAAGGCGTATGGTTCATTAATTAAGAACCAGAAAAGTGAGTTAACATATTCAGATGTTTTAGTTATATCAGCAGAACAAAGGAATATTTTTCTTAATTTTGTAAGTAAAAACATTATTTATAGAAGATTAGATATTGATGAACAATGGAAATTAACTGAAATTAAAGGAATTGAATTTATTAAAGAAAGTAATGGAATGATTATTAGTAATAAACATAAAACTAATGGTAAAAAATTTGTTTTTGCAAGTTCATTAAATAGAGCAGAATTTGCATATTGTATTTTGTCAAATGCTAAAGCCAATGAAATTGAAATTGAGTTTGAAATGTCATTAGATGAATTAGTTGATTATATTGAAAAAGAAAAGAAAAGACAAAAAACAGATGGAAGACTTCATTTAGTATCTAAAGAAGATGAATTAATTCTTAAAAAAATGCTTAATGAACATGGAGAAAAAATTGATATTGATGAATTACAAAAGAAATTAGAAAAACAAATTATTATTGATGAAGCAACATTATATAAAAATTATTTAAACAGAGAAGAAATTGGTAATAATGTTAATACATTATTTGATGAAGTACAAAAAACATTAGATGAACTTGAAACATTCTGTTTAAAATTAGATGTTGATATTGAAAATATTAGGCCAGGTGTAGAACTTATTCAACATAATAATAATAAATTAGAAATTGTTCATTCAAATCAAACTAAATTCATGAATTGTATGGAACAATTTATTGACTCATTATTAATTGATCCAGTTTCATTATATACTGTAAGAAATTGTCAAGACCAATTAAATAAAGCAGTTAATTTAGATAATATTTGTAAAAGTGCTACTGTTGTTGCTTTAGCTGCCAATTACCAACCACCAGAAGAAATGAAAAATATGATTGCTTTAAAAGAAGAACAAGATTTTGATAAACAAGTTCTTAAAGATTTCGCAGTTGTATTATCATCTACGTTACAAAATAAATTAAAAGTTGAAATGGACTTCCTTAAATTAAATAAAGTTGTAGAATTTGGTAGCTCATTATTTGGAAAAGAAAAACAACAAAAAGAAACATTAGAAGGGGCTCATGGAAGTTTACAACCATTTGGTGGATTAATTGCATGGTTAAGAATGTATGCCACAGAGGAATTTTTAAATGTAAAAAAACAATATGTAGAAAAGATGAGTAAAATTGCAAATGAATATTTTGATATTTTAGTTGATCAACAAAAAAAGAATATTCAAGAAATTTCAGAAGACCATGAAAATGCGTTTGAAATGACTGAATTTGATGGTCCTAAACCAGATAAAAATGGAGAAACTCAAATTATTCCAAAAGAAATATTTAATGATAGAAATGAGAAATTCCCTGATAAAAGACCAATGTTTGATGTTGTTAAAAGTGTTATTGAAACTATTGCTATTAATGTTATTGCAGAATTTAAATTTTTATTAGAAGTATTCCAAATGGAAGAAAATGGTCCAAATGGAATAAATGTATTAATTGATGATGTGTATAAACAATCCTTTGATGCATTAGATAAGTTAATTAGTTATATTGAAGAACATGATCCATTTATATTATTACGTGTTATTCATTTATGTAAAACAGCTAATGTAAACATTGATATTTCAACTCAAGATTACTCAAAATTATTAAAAAAACAAGCAAAAGAACAAAAACATACTGAAAATGAACAAGAAGAAGTAGCTCCAGTACAACAACTTAATAAAAATGAAATAAAAAGAGAACAAGGAACTAGAGAATTAATTGTTCAAAAAAATGCTCGTACTGTTTGTTTTGAATGGTTAGATCATTTCTATGAAGTTCTAAGTAATAATGCTTTGAAAAAATTTAATAATTTTATTGATAAACAAATTACTCAAATTACTAATACTGTTATTAGTCCAAAGAAACATGGAGTTACTGTACATTTTCTTAGACTACCATACTTCTTTAATTATCTTCAAATTGCAGCAGGAGAAGAAGAAGTATGGGAAGTACTTAATAATATAATTCAACCAATAATAGCAAAGTTATTAAGAAGTTCATTTGATTGGTTAAAGTCTATAAAAGATTCTCAAGTTGACCAAAAACCAACAATCACCTTAAGATTCCAAAATTATTACTTCTTTAAAGAAAAAGTATCATTCCGTGTTATTAGATGTCTTGAACCATTTGTTAAAGAATCAGAAACCGAGTATATGATTGCTTTAAAGAATCTTTGCTTGTTACATTGCAATCTTCATTTCGGTAAATTTTATGATTTCTTTGATCATATAGCTCGTCTTATTCCTTCAATGAAAAGACCAGAAGAAATTGCTTATCAATCAAATTATTCTAAACAAATGGCAGCTAAAACATGCAAATTAATTGTTACTCCTCAATTAACACGATCCATTGATTATATGTGTAAAAGTATTAAACATCATATTAAAATGACTGACCATAGAATGAAAGCTTGGAATACTTTATGTGATTTCTTGAAAAGTAGATACATCGAGGCTGAAAGAAATTGTGAGTTAGTTTATAAACATAAATTTGATCTTCCAAGTGAAGACCTTGACAAAATATTTAATGCTGCTCTCAAGAAAACATTTAAATTTACTGAGACAGGTGAAATGGTTACTGAAAATGAAGAGTCCAGTGTATCTGAAACTTTTGAAGGATAATTGAATTTTTAATAAATCCGTAATATATTACTTCAATAAATACATTTTATTATGAGGGGAATAATGTCAAAATAACTAATAATAACAATAATTCAAAAGAAATAAATACATTTTTATTTTACCCAAAATATCAATATCTTAAAGATAATAAAAATTCATATTGAATTAAAAAAATAAAATACTACACAATAAATTCAATTTAAAGAATCTTTTTTAATTCATAATATTTATTTAATCTCATAAACGCATAGTCTAAATAATCCCATTCAATACTTGATAATGATGCATCAACAAATCCCCAAAGTGACCAAAGAAGATTTGTAGCTAATTGGAATTGATTAACAACATCATATAAATGATCAACTTCTTCATCAGAAGGTTTCTTTCCATTATAAGCTTCAAGATAACTTCTTAAAAAGAAGTCTTGTTCTTCTTTTGTAGGATATTTATTCCAATCCATAATAACTCCACACCATTCAGTAATATGATTAGCTAAATCAAATGCTTGGAAATTATATGATGCATATTCAAAATCAATCAGTTTAATAGAACGATCTTCTTCATTATAAATAAAATTCTTTAAATAAAGATCATTATGACAACATACAATTGGTGAATTAAGTGCAGTTAATTTTTTTTCTACATAATCAATTTCTTTTGATAAGTCTTCAAAATTGATATTTGCAGCAGCAAAAGTTTTTTGTTTTTCTGGGTCAAGGTAATGACTTGGTACATTATTTAACCATGCCCTCATTTCTTTAAATAAAATTGGTTCTTTTTTTAAATTTGGTTTAAGTTGATGAACACCAGCAATACATTCTGCCATTTTACTTAAAATTTCAGGTTTTCTAAATTCATTATAATCCATAGTTCTTCCTGGTGTAAAATCATAAACAATTCCATTTAAAAATCCTCCATAAACTTTTTGTCCATAAGTATTCATAATAACAGACTCTTGTCTTCTATCAACAAGATATTCAGTATAATTACCAAAAGTTCTTAAAACAACTTTCTTTCCTGTTGGAATAGCTGTAATACAAACAAGTTTATTTGTAATTCCTTCTGTAAAAAATTGGAAAGAAAATTGATCGTTTTGAAGATTAGCAAATTCTGGTACTAGAATCTTTACAATAAAAACAGCTCCTGAAGTAAATTCTTTATTATTTGAAGCATCAAGAGCAATGAAAAGAACTCTATGAGTAAAACTATCATCATTTTCTGCTCCACAAACATTATGGAAATTGATTATTTTAGGGTTTCTTTGTACCACTGTCATTCTATAGAAGTTTGCTCTGAATTTAGAAAGATTGTCGTTTAAATAAATAATCAATTGGCATGTTGTAACAGGACTTTTAAAAAATTAGTTTTTATTTAAAAAACACATTATTGTTTTTTTTTTGTTTTTCTTCTTTTATTTTAATTTTTTTAAATTTTATTGAAGTAACTAATTAATTTATTTTTCGTAATAACTCTTATGGAAGAAGGTAATGTTTTGGGTAAAATTGTTAAAATTCAACTCATTGACAATAGGTGTGTTGTTGGAACTTTAGAAGCAGTAGACCATGATGGTAATTTATGTATTAGACACCCGTATGAATGTAGAATTATTCCACCAATTAAAGAAGGTGATAAAGAAATTATTGATGTTGTTAAAATGAGAAGTACTGTTATTCCACAAGGATCATGGAAATCTATTTCTATTCCAAATGAACAAAAGTAAAATATTTTTTTCCTGTAGATATTTCATTTTTAATTTTAACATATCATTAGATATAATAAAAGGGTTAATATTTCATTAGTTATAAATTGAATAATTAATAGAGATGTATTTATTACTTTTAGAGTATGTTTAAAATACCGTAATAAATAAATTTATCTTTCATTTTATAAAAAAGCGTTATATATAACAATAATTTTTATTTAGTTCTAAAGAGAATAATAAGTAATAGTTTAAGTTATAATAAATTAATAGAAATAGAAATAATATTAATTAATAGAACGAAGTGAAAGAACTGTTTTTATTTAAATTCATAATTCATAAATGAGTTCATCAAACATTGAATTACAAAATCAATTAAATTCATTTACAACCGATATGAATTCAGCTCGTTTGTAATTTTTGTGTTATTAATACAAAAATATTTACAAAATAAAGGACAAGCAATGGGTCAAAGACTATCAAATTTAAGTGAACAATTCACAAAACAATGCCAAGCCATTACAAAAAATTATGGACAAAATACTGATTCATTTGCTGAAGGATTAGTCCATATTATTCCTAGTCAAGCCGAAATATTAGCTGGACAACAAGAAATACCAACAATGTCAAAACAACAATCAGTAGAACTTTTACATATTGTTGAAGGAGGGATTCAACGTATTGAAGAAATTAATAAAAGTTTAACTGATTTATTGAAAAATTCTACAGCAATAGAAAAATTAAGAAAAATTAAAGAAGAAACTCAAACAATAAATAATGTTTTAGCAAAACAAGATGATGAAATGAAAGAAATTTATTCAATGTATTCAAACCTTGAACGGAGACAAAGAGAATTAGCAGAAAAATTTGAAAAAGTAGCAAAAGAAGATTTACTTCAAGCAAATGTTAGTAGACAAGATGACTTGAATATCATTCAAAAAGATGCGCTTAACCAAAGTTTAAATAAAAAACAATCCCCTTATCAATCAGAACAACCTACTATTCAAAAAGTCCCTATTACAAAAGATGCCGTCCAAAAACAAACTGTTCCACTTCAGTTAATGCAAGATATGCAAGCTGTTCCACCTTTACCTCAACAAAAAATGAATAAGCAACTAACTCCTAAAATTCAAGAACAACAAAAGCCAGATACAACTCTTAAAAAGCAATCGTCAAAACGTTTAATTGATTCGCAATTAGCTAACAATGTATTAGATGATTTTTGTACTGACCAAATAATGTCCCAAGCAAACAACCAACCAATAATTATCCAACAAGCTCAACAACCTAAAAAATCAACTGAAACTATTAAGAAAGACTCAACAGAAGAAAGATGCGTTGATATACAACCAACTAATACCCAACAATTAACGGAACCTATTCAAAATGGTAATCAATATGATCAACATACATTACAACGAACACAACAAAAGAAACCAATGGTATTACCCTCTGTCCAAAATAACTCTATTCCTAGAAGAGGTCAATTAAAACAAAGACCTCAAAGTAGAGTTGGTGATACTAGACCCCAAAGTAGTATGAGAAATACAAGTACTGCATATAGATTAGGAAATAGTCAGCCTTATAGAATTTCGGAACAACAAATGAACCAACAAAACATACAAGAATTAACGGATCAATTTAATGATGTAACAAATCAATTAGAACCTTTACAGAGTCAACAGGAAGATTTAATTAACACAGACCCTTATTATGATAATGAAAATTATCATTTTGATGAAGAGGTATGTCCATGTAGTGAATCATATGACCAAGACCAATATTATAAGAACGGAATTTTATATGATGATTATAATAATGATTATCAACAACTAAGTTACATTCCTCAACAAAGAATTATTTATGTCCCTATGCAACAAGTAATTGACCCTTATACTGGTCAGATTATAATGCAGCCAATTAGTTATACACAACCAATATATCAACCACCATTGAATCAATATATGGTTCCACTAATGCAACCTCCCTATGATTCAAGTCCAATGAGGAGACAAAGAAGAGGACCTGTGGCATACTATCCAATGGTACCACAACAATTCAGAAGACAAAACCAATCCATGAGATATGCACAACCATACAATTATCCAATGTAATAGCTCTTTTTTTAGAACACGTTTTAAAAAAACAAAATATTTAAAAAAATTATTATGTTTGATTTTTTGTTTGTTATTCTTTTCTTAGATAAGTCTTATTTATATCAATATAAAAGAGTGAATCTTTTCATAAAATCTAATAACAAGAGTTTCTCTTAATATGTCTTTCTATAACTTCTTTTTTACTTATAGAACTAGGAATATTTTCTTCAAGGAAAGCTACTTTTATTTAATTAATTTTTCTATTTTTCTTTTTCATTAAATCTATAAAATAGGCATAACATGAATCTCCCTCCATTCATGAAATACTGGCACTCTACTTAATGTTGTTATCATTTAAGGTGGTTCATATTTTTATGTAGTAAAATAATAAATGTAACATTTTTATAAAAGCGTTATATATAACAAATTTTATAAACTTTCATCTTTCGTTGAATGATTTTCTAAGTTTAGTTAAGAATTTTCAAAAAAACAAAAATTTTTCAAACCAAACCCTTATCAAAAGAAAAGTACCAATTTATTAAAACAAATAAAAATAATATTAATATTAAACTAGAATTAGGAAAAAAAACAAAAACAATGAAATTCAAAAAATTCGATTAATTTCATAAGAATAAAAGTATTATTAATTTCCCGATATTTAAGCAAAAATATCACCAAAAATGATAAAAATAAAAATATATTTCTATCGAGGGAGCAAATTTATTTTAAAAGTACAGATAAATTAATAGTTTAGAACTAAAAAGTAATTAAAAGGTAAAAAATAACAAACTCTACAAAAAAGAAAATATAAATATAATGGAATGTTCCACGTCATCTTAACGGTGTAGTTTAAAAGATCTGAAGTAAGAAACTTTGAATTACTTATACAATCTTTAATGGTCTTTATTACCATTCATTACAGTACGCCATTTGGACAAGCAGTTTGTCTTGAAGTTTCAGGAGAAAAGAAGGTATATAAATTAAATTATGTTGATAATAATACATGGTCTGGAGAAGTTAAATTTGAGTCAACTGGTCTTATTAACTATCGTTATCTCATTACAAAAGAAGACGATTTAACAGAAATCTTTAGAACTGAAGGATCAAAAGAATCATATCCACATTCTCTTGACTTAACTAATTTGAATAGCTTTGATAAAGTTGAAGTTAATGATATCTTTATTTCAGGATTTGATGCTGAAGATACTTTCTTAACTACTTCTTATTTCAGAAAAGTTATTTATGGTAAAAGACCACAAGAAAAACTTGTAATTAAGAAATTAGGTAAAACTACTCTTCTTCTTAAAGTAAGATGTACTTGTGTCCCAGAAGGTCAATGTGTATTTGTTGGTGGTGCTATTGAATCTCTTGGTAAATGGGATGTTTCTAAAGCTATCAAAATGACACCAACTCATGTTCCATATTATGAGGCTCTTATTGATATTTCTAATGAAACTACTTCTTTTGAATATAAATGTTTCATTGCTGATGCTAATTCACGTGCTAATGCTAGATGGGAAGATAGATCTAATAGAGTTTATTATATTGCACCAGTCGCTGAAGAAGAAACTGAAGAAAAAACTAAACCAGTTGATACTCTTATTGTAAAAGAAGACAACGATTTTAGTGGACTTTATTATAGAGGAGCTGCTGTTGTTACTCCAGTATTTTCACTTAGAACTAAAGCATCTTGTGGATGTGGTGAATTCCTTGATTTGAAAAAAGTTGTTGATTGGTGTAATATTACTGGATTGTCATTAATTCAAACTCTTCCAGTTAATGATACTACTGTATATTTCACATGGAGAGATTCATATCCATATAACCCAAATTCAGTACAAGCCCTTCATCCAATGTATTTGAGACTCAGTTCATTAACCCAAGACCCAGAAATTCTTGCTGAAATTAATTCAGTTGCACAAAAACTTAATGCCTTAGAACAAATTGACTATGAGGCTGTTCTTAAAGAAAAAGAAACAATCACAAGAAAAATATTCTCAAAGGTTGGAACTACTCAAAAAGGATTTGATGAATTTAAAAAGAATGCTGGTAAGTGGTTAATCCCATATTGTGTTTATCGTGCTCTTATTAAATCAGTTGATACACCATTACCACCAACACCAAAAGATTTTGCTGAGGTTGAAGCTATGTATGACGCTAATAAAGCAGAATGTGATTACTATGCTTTTGTCCAATATAATCTTCATTTACAACTTAAAGAAGCCAGTGACTATGCTGCTGACCATAAGGTTGCATTAAAAGGAGATCTTCCAATTGGAGTTTCAAAGAGATCAGTTGAATGTTGGATGTATCCAAATCTTTTCCATCTTGATAAATCAACAGGAGCACCACCTGATTACTTCTCAGCTGGTGAAGGACAAAACTGGGGATTCCCAACATATAATTGGGATAATATGGCAAAGGATGATTATGCTTGGTGGAAAGGAAGATTATCTCAAATGTCACAGTATTTCAATGCATATAGAATTGATCATATTCTTGGATTCTTTAGAATTTGGGCTATTCCTGCTATTCATAGAACTGGTCTTCTTGGTAGATTTTCTCCAGACTTACCTTTCTCTAGACAAGAACTTGAGGGATATGGTATTTATGATACTGATAGATTAAGTTATCCATACATTAGAGATCATACCTTAGATAGTCTCTTTGGTGATGAAAAGAATTTTGTCATTTCTAAATTCCTTGTTAATAATTATAATGGAACTTATAACTTAAAACCAGAATTCCAAAGTGAAGGTGCTATCCTTGAAAAGACAGGACTTTCTCCACAATTTAGAGAATCAGATAAAAAAATTGTTAATGGACTTAAACTTCTCTTACAAAATGTATGTTTGATTAGGGATGAACAAAATCCAAATTTGTTTGTTCCAAGAATTGATATGGAAAAAACATATTCTAGCTTTAATGAACTTGACCATTGGGTACAAGAAGGTCTTAAGAGATTATATAATGATTACTTCTATAAGAGACATGAAGGTCTTTGGGAAGCTACTGCTAGAAAGAGACTTCCAGCTATGGCTAGAGCTTCTAATATGCTTGTCTGTGGTGAAGATCTTGGAATGGTTCCAGACTGTGTTGTTAGAGTAATGAATGATATGAAAATTAATTGTTTGAGAATTCAAAGACTCACTGACACTCCAAATACTCTTTTCTATCATCCAGCTGATTATCAATATTTGACTGTTTCAGCACCATCTGGACATGATATGTCAACTATCCGTGGATGGTGGGAGGAAGATAGATATAAGACTCAATATTTCTGGGAACATCTTCTTGGAAGATCTGGAGCTGCACCATTTACTTGTCCTATTGATGCTGTTAAAACTATCTTTGATATGCATTTGTATGGACCAGCTATGCTTGCATGTTTCCCACTTCAAGACATTCTTTCACTTAAACTTAAGTACATTGAAGGACGTGATCCAAAATTAGAACAAATCAATGACCCATCTAATCCAATCCATTATTGGAGATATAGATGCCATGTTGATATGGATGAAATTATTGCTGATAATGAATTGAACAACGAACTTAGAACTGCTGTTGAAAAATCAGGCAGACATCTTTTCTAAATTGAAAGTTTAGTTTCTTTTGGTTATTTTTATAAAATAGTTTTCTTTGAGACATAGTGAATTTTAAATAATAAAATATAAAATATTCTGTCTTTTCTTTTTAATGATTATCTTGTTATTTAATTATCACTTTAGAATTAATAGCAAGTAATAAGAAACAAATTATATAAGAGATACAAGTTTATTGTTTTTATTTATGGTTTATTTATAATTTTTTTCTTGATTTTATCTAGAATAAAAATAAAATTACTATTATATATTATTAAGTATATACAAAAAATTGATGTTATGAAAGAAGTAATTTGTAATTTTGAATATGAATATTATATTCATCTATTGATAAATTTGTTTTTCAGTTTTTATTTGTAATATTTGGGTCATATTTTAAGTGCTTTATTTATTACGCTTATTTTATCAATTAGGATTTTTGTTGAGATATTTCTTTTCTTTGTAAAGAAATAATGTTTTTTAAATTAATAACTTTCAATATTTAATGAATCGTTAGAACAAATAAATATGGACAATAACATGTAATAACACTTTTAAATCAAATAATTGAATAAAGAAACAAAATAGTGATATAATTGTTAAAAAATCTGAACAAATTATTAAAAGATAATTAAAATAGCTTAAATATTTTGAAATAGACAAGAATGAAATTAATGAATATTAAATTCAAATAAAAATTTCAAATCATCAATTCATTCTTTCATTTAAAAGAATTTTTTATATATGTACATTAATATTTTAGTAGTATTTCAATAAAAAATACATTTTTCAAAAATAATTTAAAACTATAATAATATTATAAAATACTATAATTTTTAATTATCATATCATTTTTTTGTTTGATTATCTGAAATTAGTCATGAACAATTTCATTTAATAATCTCTGAAGATTTCCATTTCTTTTGTTGATAATTTCTTCAATTTTATCATTTGACACTTCATTGCCCAATTCAACATGTCCACAAACTTTTTGATTTATTTGAACTAACATTTTACAGACTTGATCAAAACTGGGACGTTCATTTGCATTTTGTTTCCAACAGAGATTGATGAGATTTTTATAGTCAGTTGGTATTTTTTCATCAAATTCTAAACGTTTACCACTACCAACATAGTCTTTAATTTCAAACAATGATTTGAAGTTTTTATAAGGTTCTTCTTGATAATATATTTCCCATGCAGTTACAGCAAATGAATAAACATCACCAGCAAAAGTATATTCATCATGATTTGCTTCTGGAGCAGCATATATTGGTGTTCCCAAACCTTTCTCTTCAAGACTTTTTGAATTTTTCATAGTAAGACGAGAAGTACCAAAGTCAGTAATTTTTATACAACAAGCTGAATCAAAGTAGAATGAATTGACTAAAAGGTTATCTGGTTTAAGGTCTAAATGCATTATTTTGTTCTCATGTAAGAATGCCATTCCTCTTGCAGTATCAAATAAAACTCTTAGTTTTAAACGATAAGGAATTACAAAGAAATCTTCATTTTCCTTTCTAAGATATTCTCCTAAAGAACCCAATTGAAAATATTGCATTACCATTGACACTTGTGGAATATAAGTCACAGACCCCATGTAATTTGCAATAAAAGGATTACGTAACTTACTCATTAACTCACATTCGCTCATTGCAGCTTGTTTCAAGTCATCCATTTCATCTGTAGAAAGATTTTCCCATCTGAACTGTTTCACAGCAACTGGAACACTACGATAACTTCCAAGAAAGACTTTGCCCATTGCTCCTTCAGCAACTGGTTCATCTGCCATTTGAATTTCATCAATATCAATATGGGTAGATGATGCAGCATCTGTGGTAATAGTTAAGTTATTATGATAATGTCTTTGAATAGTTTTAAAGATAAGATCCATTTGTATTTGATCGTCTTGAGTCCATGTTTCAAATGTTTTATCTTTTAAAAGATTAGACATAATAATTAAGGATGATTTAGATTTACTGAACCATACAGTATATGGAATTTTCATATCTCTAATTTTTGTAGTACAGAATAATGTCATATAAACAGTAATTTCTTTAGAACCTAAATGTGGCCTTAAAAGAACAACTTGTGGTTCAAAATGAAATACATACTTAGGATTATTTGGTGTATGAAAAATTACTAATAACCATTTATTGTTTGAATAATTTTTTATAGTTATTTTCTCAAATCTAGTATCAAAAATAGCAGTAACATCTTCTGTATTACCAAAGTCTAACTCTAGTGGATTAATATCATACCTGTTTTCTTTTGCTGGTGGGGTTTTTACTGATCCATTTATATAATAATAATAAACAGGTTGTTGTTCTTTAAATGTGTTTGTGTCTATCCGTTTATAACTCATAATAAAAACAATGAAAATTATTAATGAAGAAATAATAATAAATAGTATTGCGAATGAAAAAAGAACGATTAGCACATACGCCCAAACTGGAAATCTTTTTTCTTTACATGAGCCAATATGATTTGGGTCTGGCTCAAATCCATTAATACAATAACAATATTTGTTACAATTAACACCACCATCACATTCTTCTTTTCTAACAAAATCTCCTTTTCCGTTATATACATCATTAATAACACCATTACCGCAACTAATTGGCTTACAACGTTTTTTGTTCGTTGAAACATAATACCCATCTTCACAAAAACAATTTTTTGTACAACCTTCAGTCCCTTGTTTACATTCTTCATCTTTACCAATTCTTCCATTAATACAATCGTTACTAACACAAATATGGTCAACTAAGGTATAACCAGATTCACAATTACAATATTGGTTACAGTGCTCAGTTCCAAACCAACACATTTCTGTATAATTATTAACTTGCCATTGACCTTTATAAGAACAAGTAAGATGACAATCATCTCCACCATATTTTTCATTACAAACACATTTTCCTTTTTCAACAGAACAAACTCCATTGTTAGTTTTACTATTACAATCCTCTGGACAGATTGCCCTAATAGTAACTATTGATGTTAGTTTCATCTCTTGTGTCATTAGTGCAAAATATCTTGTATCATTATCTCCTTCTTCATTAGGATCAATTTTTATATTTAAACCCATTTTAGTACCTTGCTTACTCAAAACACCATGTTCTTGACCAATCCATAATGTTTTACATGTAGCAGGTGCTTTTTCAATAGACTCTCCATGTTCTGCTTTAATTCTATATTCTTGTAAATACAATAGTCTATTTTGGTCTTTGGTATAAATCTGTATTGAATAGTTTCCTCTAAAATTTAAAGTAAATGAAATATAACTTACAATAATATTTGGAGCACAAATTCCATAACCATACATTCCATATTCCTCAAAAGGGAAAGTGTAAGTTAGTGATGAATCTAAATTACTTCGAAGAAGATCAGTATCAGTTTGGTTTAAATTATAATACATCATTAGAGTATTTCCTGGATCTTTATAAATACGAATTCCAGCATTAAAAGATTCAAAGCCATCAACAGAGATGAATATATACATCATTTTTTCTTTATTTTTACTGTAAAAGGTTATTGGAATTTTTACTCTATTATTATACGAACTTCCTCTTAAGAAAAAGTGTGCAAGACAAAATGGATTCTTATCTGTTGAATCTGAATTAGAAACATCAAGATAAATATTAAAATCACTAAGAGATTCTTTTGAAAGACTAATTGAAACAAAGTCAACAACTGGATTAATCTTAGTAGAATCAAATTTAAACCATTTTCCTTGTCTATAAGAATGTTTATAATAACAAGGACTTTGGTCAATTTTAGTAGTCTTATCAAATGTGAAATAAACAGTATTGTTATTTGCAAAGAGTTCTGGTATAGAAGAAGGATCAGGAATCCATGTTTTCTTCTGTCTTAAAGGTGCAGTAGAAACACAACCCTCTTTTGTTTTGAGATATACTGGTGTTACAAAATTTGTTGGGTCTATTGATAAACAATGAAGACAAGATGTATCTCCTTCTTCATAACCAAAACTACATTTACTTAAACAAGTGAAATTAGTAATACAGTTATGTTGTTTACATCCATCAGAACATTGTATCATATTTTGAGCAAATGAGAAATAAATATAAATGAAGAAAAACACCCACAGTGTCATAGACTTATCTTTAAAGTGTTTGATCAGTTTAAGATACCCAAAAAAACTAGTCATCTTGAGATAACTATTTTGACAAAAAAATACCACTTGCATATTCCCACTCAACTGAGTAAAGCTCTAAAGATATACTTCCTTCTATTTCGACATTTTCTATTTTTATCCCTTCACTTCCATGGATAGTAAACAATTTAACCTTTTTTAAAAAAAAAAA